GCCTCTTCTCCCAGGTAATGGGCAATAGGACGAGGGGAAATGGCTTCAAGTTGTGCCAGGACAGGTTTAGGCTGGACATTAGGAAAAATTGTTTTCTAACTAGGACTCTTCCTAATCCGTAACTATATCCTGCTGGAAGCGCTGCGTATCCAGTGTGGGAAACCAGAGAGGGCCTGGAGAGTATGCCACAGGATGGTGAAGATACCAGAAGTTTACTGGGTTCAAAATGTTAGTGCATGGTTAACAGAGGCTCCTTCTTCCCCTAGTTGATCTAGCTCAGTAAGTCAGCAGCTGCCGATCGCTCGGTGCAGCGATGCCTCCGCATCCCTGCACACCGTGAGCACCATCTCCGTCCCCGTGCTCTTGCCTAGGCCTCTGCTGCTGCCCACTGCAGGGCCAGGGCACTGGGCTACTCCTGCCTTTGGGCTCACCTCCTACAACTGGGTGGGTCTGGGTTTTTTTCACATACCTCCAAGGCAGTGTTCCTGCTGTTGCCTTGACCACTGCCTCAAGGGAGGAGGGGGCCAGCTCTCATGTTCTTGCCTAAGATGTGCAGAGTTATGCTACTTCCCAGAAAAACCCCTCCGGCCAGGGGTGCCTGGGCCCTTTACCGGCAGGTGAAGGACGAGAACAGTCTGTGACAGGGCTGCTGACTCATGCTCGACCAGAAAGGTTCATGATTCTGCTTGAAACTTCTGCTCAAAAAGGCGTTTTTCACGTTATTGAGATGCTGCCAACTGCATCACGCGGCCAAGGGGGAATAACGCAGTGCAGGGATCTGCTTTGTTAGTTGGTTTGCAAACCCCCTCAAGATAAGTAAGGAGAGTGTTGGGGTAGTACCTGCCCTCCAGGAAAACCACTGCTTTTGCAGTTGGAGAAACTGAGGCGGACGCCCTGCAGCTCTTCTACAAATCTCCTTAATACCATCTTGCCCCTTCCAAAGGAGCACAGCTCAGCTTCTGCAGGTTGCCCTGAACAAAAAACAAGTATTGTAGAGAGACACAAGTATTCTGCTTTAAAATGACTGAATTTGCTTACAAAAGCTTTCTGTCTGTTTTGCTAAATGAGATGCAGCAGTGCCTACTACTGATAAAGTTGAGGCTGATTCCTTAGCCTGGATCCCTGGGCTGATTCCCTACCCTGGATCTCCCCTGGCCATCACAGGGCTCCTGGGAGTGAAGGAAAAATACAATATTGTTCTTAATGGTATCTTAGTACGTTTAATCGTACTTTTGCTCACTGCATGGCATACATCCCCTGCTCACATCCCTTTGGCAGCTTTGTATACTGTACAATCTACATGGACCAAACGCTGCAGCTGAAGGAAAATATAAGATGCAGGAGCATTAGCAACAGAAAGCTGTGATTTTCCCAGATTGTACAGAAACCAGCACAGTTGGTTGGGTCAGGGGGACAATAGTCTTTCCATCTTCTTTTTTTTTTCCAGTTTAAATGTTGCAGTGATCACAATACAGGTCCTTTGGATATTTTTTTATAATGTATATAAAAATCTTCCTCCCTGCTAGGAAATTCAGTTTGCATATGGTTGCAAGTTCTGCATTAAAGTGCTTGGCAAAAAGTCACCTTGATAGCAAGTGCTCACCTCAGCTGCATCTGTGCTATAGCGTGGTGGGCAGCTGAAATCTGGTTTCTTTTTCCTGGTCCCCAACACTACTACCCCCACCCCCCACATTCCCCCAAATCTTACTCGGTGAACTGAAGAGGTACCTAAAGTGCTTAGAATGCTAAATGAAAAAATACAATTTTAAATGCAAGTCTCTTATACTCTTTTACTACTTCACAGTACCTTATAAAACTAAACATGTTTTAAAAATACCCCTTTCCAGTTCAGAAAAACATTGCAATGAGTAAGAATAGTCTTTACATTTTCTCTATTTCTCCAGCAATTCTGTATTTCTCTCAAAGCACATGGTATCTATATGGTCATCTCTCCCTGCTTACATTCAGTAACCTCCTAAACACCATTACAAGTCAATATTAACGCGAGTTGTGCTTTACTTTGTTTGAAGACATGATTTTTTTTTTTAAATCAGTTTCAGCTATTAGTGCAATAGTATCATCATTATTCCACCCACCTTGGAGAACTACACAAGAAAATTTGTCAATTCAGGTAAGAAAGAAAATTAGTCTGTTCGTCTGCCTTTCACTGACCGGAGTCATGCACTGAGGCAAAGAGGGGAATGGAGAAAATAATCAGACCCCCCCAAACCGATGCGCATGGTTATTTTATGCCTCGTGCCAACCCAGTTACGCAGCAGGTTAGCGGGGGCGAGGAGGACGCTGACTAGCTGGGGAGGAGTCCCCACCTCTGGGCCTACTAGACTTCCAACACTAGCGCCAAGGCTCCCGGGTTGGGAAGGTTACAAGAGATCCTGTGTTTTAATAGCAAGGTATTACAGCTTTCCTGGAAAGGTCACCTATCGACACGTGCTTAGTACTAGGTCTTCCGCGTTATCTCCCGTTTTCTAATCCCGGCTTTCGCGTAGGACGTAGGAGAGGCCGTGTTTCCCCGAGGAGTCGTAACTGTCATGGTAGGGGAGGCCGACCCACTCGGGCGGGTACGTCATCGTGCTGTACACAAAGCACTCCACGACGCCCTCGGCAGCTGCCCGCCCCTCGCCCGCGCCGCCCTTCCCTTCCCACTCCACCACCTCGATTCGCATCAGGGTGCGCTGGTACATGTCTGGGCAGCCTTCAAACTCATCCAGGAACTGCAGCATCTGGTCGTCAACCGAGTAAATCTCCCCGGCAACGTGGTGTCCCGTTCCCGGGATGTTCAGCATGTAAGGGATGTTGTATTTTCCTGCAATCACCAGCGGGTACTTCTCCACCGTGCGGCCCCTTCCTTGGAATTTCGCTAGCCCCTTGGCCGTGTTGATCATGTGCTTGTAGTTGGGCTGGCCCTTCTTAAGCGTGCCGTAGACGAAGACGCGAGCCATCGTACCTGCAAAAGCAGCTGAAAGACAAAGGTGTACGTTACCCAGGCGGCTGCTTTGCCCAACACTCTGGAAAACCACACCTGTGCCACCAAAGATGCATTATACACCCAAGACTCTTCAGGAAGATGCAAAAGTAGTCTTGTAGTCCTACGCCTCATTTAAGTAGCACACTGAATTCAAACAGCTCTTTAAACTTTTCAGTCAAAAACTGTAATGGTGAAAAACAGCCACCAGGAGAAAGCCACCCTTTGCTGTAATCAAATTACATTCCATGGTCTCTCTAAGGAAGCCACAGCACCAACCCTGAGCCTTGGGAGCCTCGGGAAAAGCACCAAGCCTTCCTTCATTTTTTTTTTCCTCCCTCACCATTATGGGAGCCATCCCAGTGATGGACACAAACTCCACTTAGCACATCCTTTATTGGGGGGGGTGGGGGGAACCCAAAGCCCAGAGCACATCATGGTTTGGTTCAGCTGAGCAGACATCATCCTATGCTGTGCTACTGCAGTTATGGTTTAATTAGCCCAGGCCAAACCTGGTTATTAAAGCATGCAGGAGCGAAGCCACAGTTAGTTTGTTTTCCCTTGTTGGGACGTGGTAGTGGGTTTTTTTTTAAAGCCTGAACGGATGGACTTGATCACGCATGACCTGGGAAACCCGGCCTTGCCAGCTCCGGGTGCAGTCCAACACACCCTGGGGAAGTGCCTGCTTCCCTCCCGCTTCTGCTCAGGTTCCCCTTGTCACTGTGGCAGCACTCCCTAGCTGAGAAACAACATTTTATTCAATGACAGAAGAGCCTGGGTGCAGTTTGGAAGTTTGGGGGGTGGGGGGGGTGTCATCTTGTTTTGTGGTAAAATAAAGCACAGAGGCATTAATTATCCAAAAGCAAATTAACACAGTCAAACTTCTGGTCCTGTTCGGCTGCAGTTGCACGTACTCGATGGTACTTTTTTCAATAGTAACACCAGCTTGGTCACAGTCTTAATTAAAAAAAAAAGGGAAAGAAAAAGCAAGCAGCACGATGCTCATAGCCGCAGCAAGCTAACGACGAACAAACTGGGACAGCACCGGGGCGAACAGAGGACCTGTCTGTCACGAAGCGGGATGAAAAGGCTTTCAACGCCAGACCTTACAAGCAAATTGAGTCACGCTGGTGCGGCAGCAGGGCAAGTTTAAGCCAGCGTTGAGTCATTTCACGGACGCGCTGAAGGACTTTTCGGTAACCCCACGGCCGAGGTCCCGCTCGCCGGCTGACTGACGGGCACTGAAGAGCGAGCTGCGGCACCGGGGAGAGAAGCGGGGTGGCCTGTGGCAACCACAGCTCCAGCGAGGGGATGCGCGCCGAAAGGACGCGCCTGTCCCCCTCCTTCAGGGGAGGGGAAGGACAGCGGCTCTCCTGGGCGCTGCTGAGAAATCCTAGGTGACAAACCTCATTGACAGCGTGGGTAGGGCCAGACGCTGTGGTCTTCATAAGCACCTTCACCCTTCCTGCGGGAGGGAGCCATACAAATGTTATTTCCATTTATTTACCTTGGGGATGGGGGGAGGGAGGGGAGGCAGGTGGAAACGCGGGATTTCAGTGCTAACAAAACCGGGAGCGAGGGCTGCTGGCAGAAAGGCCAGGTAACGCCCTGCTCCTGTCTTCCCCAGATACCCAAAAGTGCTAAGCCACCTCTGCCTGACGGAGCTGATTTGCAGATGTGCTAGCTATCTCCTGAAAACAGACTCTGAATGATGGTGTTCAGCACTTATCCGAGAGCATAAACCACTCAAAAGTCTGTAACAGAATACAGTTTTCCAACCACAAACGGTGCGTGTCTTTATTTACTGGCAAACAGCTTTCACCTATGGAAAAAAAGACCTTACTGCTTTTTTCCCCCCCTGTATTTTAGCAGTAATACTTAATTTATGTAATACGTAATTTATCCTTCATGACATAAACAAGTTTTTTTTTTGGATGCAGCTCACTCCCTCAAAAGCAATATTAATATTCAGTCAGTCTGACTCCCTTTTATACGAAAAATCATTACCTTTCAGATTGTGTTTTGAATAAAAACCACAGATCCTTCAGGAAGAAACTTGTCCCAGTGGGGATTGAGAAAGGATCAGAGTTAAGCACTGAAACATGCAATTAATTCCCATTAGGGGATTAGGGCACTCGTGTTCACTTTGAATCAGAAAAATGAATTGTGAATTAAATTGTTCACAACCAAGAGGTTACTTGTCAGAGTTAATAAGTTAGAAAATAAAAAGGGAAACCTAAAACGCACATAAAAAGCTCAATAGCGAGTGGTGCATCTGTAAGAAAAAGATACGCTTCATTTCCATGAAACAAAAGCTCTATCCCTACTGTACAGCTGGAGATAAGCTTCCAAAAAGTTCGCAGGGAGTGTTACCCCTCCTGAAACTGGTGAAAACGAAAAATGAGTTTCTGATGGGGCAGCAGCCAGCTCTTTGGAAACATTACTGATTTAAAGCAATGCATCCAGCATCCTAGGGCAGGACCTGCAAAATTCACCACCACCACCACCCGC